GATAGTTCAGGAAAACCAATAGGAGAATCTTGCAGTATATTTAAAGCTAGTTGGCTCAAGTTAATAGTTTTAATTTCACTACAACCACAATAATGTGTGTCTACTGAACTGTGCTTATTATTGTGCTAATGTGGTTTTATGTTCTATAAATCAAATCAAATCAAATCAAATCAAAAACAGCTTTATTGAATGAAGACCAATACAATCTTATTATCAAAGCACACTAATCAAATATAAATTCTTAATACTACATAAATAAATATAAAATAAGCATGACATGATACTAAACAAACACCAGTTAAAAAAATATATGGAAAGTCAGGCTAAAAACAGGCAATAATATATTAGGTTGAAGTTTAAGACAATAAACTAACATAGGTACACATACATTGTTGTAAGGCAAAGTCAAAGGAAGTAAAAGTAAATGAACGCTAGTTGAGGGACTCATTGAAAAATTCTGCAATTGAATAGTAGGCTTTCCCAACCAATAAATCTTTTACTTCAATTCTAAGCACTTCCTATTCTGAATATTTCTTATATTCAAAGGCAGATGGTTGAAAAGCTTTTTGCTGTTATAAATTATGGATTTCTTTGTTAGGGTCGAAACGGGAATGGGGAGCGAAGCCACATAAGATGAATGAGTGACTGAAACTCCCAAAGTTGCAATCTCATCCTTGTATTTACTGTGAATTAGGCCAACAGTTTCAGCAATAAATATACATGCGAGAGTTAAGATTTTCTGTGAAACAAACAAGGGTCTGCAAGATTGCCTGGGACCCACCCCATACATTGACCTTATTGCGCGTTTCTGCAGAACGAAAGCCATAGTGAAAAACTGATCAGAACAGGATCCCCAGAAATAGATTCTGTAAAGTAGATGAGACTAGTTTTTTTACTACATGAATACCTATACAGGGTGTTTGGTACATTGATAGAAAGTGATAGTTGAGGTCAATTGGGAGATGCTTGACCAAAAAGTTTCGTCGTTTTCGAGATATCAGCATTTTTATATATTTTTGGGAAATATTTGAATTGTTCCTGAAACATATAATCTGAAGGGCTAATGCCGAGGCTAATGCTGAGCTGTTCAAATTTTCAGGGATTAAGTAATGATGTAGGAATGATATGATATTCAAAAATTCGTATAATGCACCCAGTCAAAAAAAAATAATTAAATTTGAAACAAAAAATAAAATTAAAAAATAATTGAGGTGGAAAAAAAATTTGGGCCACCGTTGCCGCTTAAAGGAGGCAAGAATTTAGCAAATGAATTTTAGCGATAAAATGTATAGATTTTCCTAACAATTGATCACTTGTTTAACTTCAGGGCCAAATTGTTTATTTATCTGTATTTAAAATTAGAATGGTATTTAGATGTATTGATTAATTCGAGAATTAGTTGATAAACTCCTCGATAAACTCATTGATAAATAAACTAATTTGTTATATTATTATTATATTATATACTAGCGGCCCGCTCCGGCTTCGCACGGGTATAAAATATATAACCTATGTCACTCACTGAAAAAATTATTAAAATCGATCCAGTAGTTTTGGTTCTGATTGCGAAAGTCATACTGTAGACGTAAAGCCGGAATGACGTATACGTATTCAGCGTAGTTTATGTACTTTATTCGCTTGTGTTTTGTGATATTCTGTGGTTTTGTGTTTTAAATGTTGCGATTAAAGTTGGTTTTTTGTTGTGCTTGTTTGTTTATACCGTTTTACTGTTTGCCATATAGGTCTATATCAAATCAACAATGTATTTAAGGTATTTAATTGGATAAGGATTAATGCTGTATTAGTTAAAATCGCTTCCTGCATTTGCAATGTAAGCGAAAGAAATGTAATTACTTACGACATCACATTGGAAACCTCGAAAATAACAGTATTTCTCCACTATTTAATGGATGTTATTATACAGTGTCATTACTTAAGTGTGCAACATAATATGGGATTTTTTTTTAGTAATAGCACAATCAAAATACAAACAAGGCCAAAAGTTGGTGCATGTCTGATAATCATATTAGGTGCACTTAGAATAGTTGCAAGTCAAACAGCATACAGGGTGGCTCAAAAAATATCAAAATTCTACTAATATTTACTTAAATAAAATAAAACTTTTGCACTTTAAGGAGAGTTTTTTTAATATGGCTATTATCATTAGTAATGTTTTAACTTGTTAAAAAAAAAAATGCTACATTTTAAAGTTGTGTTGAATATCATTGCAACAAACATGAATTTTGTGATTCCATAAAAAATTAAAAACCTAAGTTAATTTTACAAATATGCTTGAATTTGAACAAAGGTATGTAAAATTGATTTGATTTTAATTAATTTTTGAAAGTATTAAGTGCGGAAATGAAAAATAAAAAAAATATAGAAATTATAGATTTTTTTCGAAAGAAAATAAAAAAAATCCTAGGAGGCTATGTTTTGGTATTTAGGCATAACTTTTAATTCCAAACAACTCTTCTTTATAACATTTTGCTGAATTTTCTAAAATAAGGGTACTTCACAGTACCAGCTTTGATATTGTTTGAGCTACCCTGTATGCTGTTTGACTTGCAACCATTCTAAGTGCACCTAATATGATTATCAGACATGCACCAACTTTTGGCCTTATTTGTATTTGGGTTGTGCTATTACTAAAAAAAATCCCCATATGTTGCACACTTAAAAAATAACACTGTACATATAAACCTTCCTCTTCAATCACTCTATCTATTAAAAAAAAAACGCATCAAAATCCATTGCGTAGTTTTAAAGATTTAAGCATACATAGGGATATATAGGGACAGAGAAAGCGACTTTGTTTTATACTATGTAGTGATAGTGATAGTGATACAGGCCAATACAGGGTGTATATTTTTAGTGATACCACTATTGCTATATACCAAATGGTAAGAGCTACAAGGTCAGTTAAACTAGAAAAAAGTTGCTTTTTTTGATGCTCATTTACAATGTTGCCAAATTCCTGTTAGTTTATGAAATACAGGGTGATTTCTAAGAAACGCCTAAAAATATTTCATCGATTATTTTGAAAACTATTGATTTTCGAGACACAATTTAAATTCGAAAGTTTTATAATTTTTTTGCTCTACAATATGGCATCTTCAAATTTCAAATCCAACGTTGCATGATCGAGCTACCATCATCAAGTTAATTTTTTTAAATACGGACCTCGATTTTTTATGTCATTTTTAGAAAGCTCTCTTTATTCCCTTTTCAACGATATACCTCTTAAGTATGATTGGCCGACGTTTCTGCTATTATTTTCAATTTTACCTTAATTCGGCCCTGGAATTGGTAATTTGTAACAAAGACGGTCTGCCCCAACATGGTACCTTTTAAGTATAAAAGGGTATTTTCTCAATTTTAATAGTTATAACATTTTGTGACTAGTTTTAAGTTTTAGTGCATTACTGTAGTTACTACTGCTTATTGTATGGTTGGGCAAGTCCCATTAATAAAGGATTGAATTGAATCGACTTGAATCTAAAAAAGATAACAGTTTTTGAATAAAACATATAACCAAAAATCTTCAGGGATGATAGGGGGGCGGGTGGGTGATCATAAAATCGAATATATCACACATTCACCCCTATGGCGTTTTGCGCTATAGGGGTTGAAAGTACGCCATTGGCGATTACTTGGTACCTATTGATTTTACAAAAAAATGATTCAAATAAAAGATGTGCAACATTATTTCAACCACAATGTTTGTCTAAAGACTTTTTTGATTAAGGGCCGTCTGTGGTCATAAGGGCTGTTTAAAATTTATAATAAAAATAAAAATTTCTAACCAACGTGAAAAAAATTTTTACAACACATACTTACAAAGTTTTTGCTTAATGAAGTTTTTACTCATGCCCTGCCGTTTTTCAATAGAGGTAGTTTAAAGTTTTTTTACTTTTTTACAAAACAAAATTCTTAATAAAAGTTTTACAAGATTAGATTTCCTACAATTTTTCCTTATCAACATTTTCTGTAACTCACCCCTATTAAGCGGAGGGAGACTTCCCTTGGGTTAAAATTTTTCACATATTTTCATTATAAATTTCAAACGGCCCTTATGACCACAGACGGCCTTCAATCAAAAAAGTCTTCAGATAAACATTGTTGATCAAATTATGTTGCAAATTTTTTATTTGAAACATTTTTTTTTGTAAAATCAATTAGGCAATCCAACGACCTGTCCAAATGGCGTCTGGTTGGCAAACAATAAACAAAAAAAACTATGTTTTTTTTTGACAGGATTAAGCCTAGTACTCATAACAGCGAAATTCTCTCTTTTTTGATATTGCTTCGACAGTTTGATGTTTTATGCATGAATCAAACGTCAAAATTGTCGAAGCAATGTCAAAAAAGAACGAATTTCGCTTTTATGAGTACTAGGCTTTATCAATACACGGGACGAGTTCTCAAATCTGACACTTTTCTGACATCTTTGTATGTAAAAACCCGTATTCTAACCTCATAAAAATTTCAAAATGCCCGCTGGTTGGCAAAAGTCACGTGGTTTGGATTCCCTAATAGGTACCAAGTAATCGCCAATGGCGCACTTTCAACCCCTATAGCGCCAAACGCCAAAGGGGCGAATGTGTGATATCTTCGGTTGTATGATCACCCACCCGCCCCCTATCATCCCTGAAAAATTCATTTGGGTAGGAATTTTTTTTTTTTGAAAATCGACAATTTTCCTGTATGGTTTATGGTTGAATAGCTTTACTGTTGACTCAACAGAACAACTCTCAAAATATCTTTTTTCAAAGACAGAACTTGTGTTGAGTTTGTGAGGTTCAACCTCTCTGTTTTGTTGCCTAAAGTGTGTTTTTTTTTGTGGATACTAAACATAGGGCAAGCCGAGGGGCAAGCTGTGATAAGGCCATCTTAGGCCTTCTTAGCAGCTTATTTGATCCCATGAACACCATTCATTGACAAAGAAAGTTTTTGATATCTGAGAAACTTTCACAAACAAAAAACCCCTAAACACTCACCTCATTTCCTCTTGGTCAAATAGCTTGCTATTTACTAGAGGAATTATAGCCGTTTCGAAGGCCGCCATTCGTTTTTTAACTATTGACTGAACTCGTTCATCCATTATTAATCCTTCCATGTTCTCCATTTTGATAGATATGATTTCTTGTTTTGTTGCAAAAAAGCTTTCGTCTTTAATTCCAGAAACTAATGAAAATCAAAAATACTAAACATTATTGTTTATTATTTTCCTATTATTTCAAACACATACCTTATGCACCTTGAAATCACATCAATCTTCTATGGGAAAACATACAACAATGCCTTCTATATAAGTACGCACACTAATTAAACCAAATATGCAATGCAAGCAAAATGCGAAAGTCAAAAGAAGGATACCCGGGCGGGACCGTGCCCGGACCCAGATATGAAAATAGAATAGAGATTGGTTATGGTTGTATTTTGTATCCCCTCTCGCTCGGCCCTCTGTATTTGGCTTCTTCTTTTCTCTCTGCCTCTAGCAGGGTCTTGGCCTCTAGCTTGACATGGGAAAAATTTGGAATAAACAAAAAAGGTTTGTTTATTTTGGTAAACTAACTTGAACTCAGCTCAGCTGTAATATATCAGATTATGGCAGAGGCAGATAAACCATAAACTCTCACAAACGAACGCCCCAAAGGAAGTGCTGCCGAATAGGCTTGGGATAAGTTAACCGGTTATTCGAATAACCGGTTAACCTAACGTTTGAAAACCGGTTATTTTCGGTTAATCCAGGTTCCACCTAATAACCGGATTTCACTTACCAATAACCAACATTCGGTTATTCTGTTATACCGGGTGCCCACGAGATTACTTTCCGGTTGCTATTTTTTTATTTGTCTATCGATATCAACGAAACTTGGTAGGATTGATATTCTAACCAAACCCCATTTTTATACATTTATGACAAGTTTTCCTGACTTACGGTTTCACCGGAAATGACCGAAACTTTTGATTTTTAAATGGCATACCCTGTATATTTTATGTTTTTCGGATTCTACAGATCGTTTTACGGCCTAATGCACCACTTTTGAATCGAGTTTTATCCAAATTTTGTTTTTAAATTAAGTTTTAACTTTCCACCCAACAAACACATTTCTTACGGCCCAGCATCGTACGAATGCCTCTTTGCCGGATAACAGGCATCTGCCCAACTAATTGAAAAAAGTACTGGTCCGGATCCTATATGACCGCCCGGCCGACAGTCGAGCCGCAAGTCGGCCGACAGTATGAACCAGCGTTGGGCCGATTCAACGTCTGAATCATTACATGGGCCAACGCTGGGTATACTTCCTCAAATTTTATGGTCCTTTACAGTATATTTGATGGATTTTCATCACAGGGCCATAACTTTATACATGGTTGTAATATTATATACCGGAATGCTAGTAAATAATTCCAAAAATCGAATTTTACTTTTCTGCAACTTGGTATGACACAACAATTTCTTTCTGCTGTTCGTTTTTCTTGGTAGTAGGAATCGAGGCCTTTCTGGAGGACTAAAATTTCAAGCAAATCAAGGTTTCATCGAAAAAATCATAGTCTATGGTGAGTGGGCTAAAGAGTACAAGTCAAAATTAGACAAATCAAGAAAAATGCTTTCGAAATATCAGACTTTAAAATAATCGGATTTTTTGTGGCTGTTTCGGACGAATCGAATTTTTAACTTTACAAAGGTTTTTTTTTATTAGAGATAATCTATTTTTTTATTTTTTTTTTTGTTCTGTTTTTTTTTTATTACAAAAAAAAATGGACTTATACTCTTTTGACCAGACCTATAGATGACATATATTATTATGAAATAAGATAATATGACTTATAATATTTTGACCTGACCTAAGAAATGACTTATACTAGTTTTGCTCAACCCAAAATTTGATATTTGCAAAAACTGGAAAAGAAGGCCAACTCTTTTTCACAAAACACTTTTTTTTTGCTGATATCATCACCTCTTTGCTCACCAAATGGTACTAAGAGTATAAGTCGACTGACAAAATCAGGATAGGAATAGTATAAGTCTACTTGTACTATTTAAATTTTATTATAGTGTATAATCTAAATAGTACAATTCAACTTATACTGATATGCCCAACAGAATAAAATTCCTTTTAAGTTAAACTATGTGGATTCAAATTAAAATTAAAGTATTTCAAATAAATTGACTCATACTGTTTGGACCAGTCGATGTAGGAACCGAAAATATATACCAAAATGACTTAAACTCATTTTCGCAAAATTTTGACTTGTACTCTTTAGCTCACCCACCATAGAATTAGGTATATAAGTTACATTCCTCATAAATCTTTGAAAATAAAAATGCATTTTTATAAAAATATCTAAAATAGTTAATATTTAGGTAATACAATGCAATATTATAGGAAAAAAGTCAACATTTCATTAGCGTATAGAAATAAATAAATAAATATTCTTTGGAAGAATAGGTGTTTTTTTTTCTACTTAAAATTTAATTTGAAAACGAAATTTGAATAAAACTAGATTTAAAAGTGATACTTTGAGACGTAAAACGATCTGTAGAATCCGAAAAACAAAAAATATACAGGGTGTGCCATTTAAAAATCAAAAGTTCCGGTAATTTCCGGTGAAACTGGAAGTCAGGAAAACTTTTCATAGATGCATAAAAATGGCGTTTGGTTAGAATATCAACCCTACCAAGTTTCGTTGATATCGATGAACAAATAAAAAAATGGTAGCCGGAAAGTAATCTCGTGGGCACCCGGTATATACTTTTTTACTTACTATTGACTCATCTGTCCTCACTTTTATAGCATGGTTCCAAACAATTCAAACGCAAGAACCCCAAAAAAATTCCCAAGGAAATGCATTTTTTACCCGACCTTCATATTTATGACGAGAGATGGCGCGACCACGCGGCAAAAAAACCGAAATCCAACCATGTGAAAAGTTGAATTTTCCATGGTTATTTTTACAAAATAGCCAAAATACAAAAACCATTTTCACGTGGCTCCGGTTTAACAAACCGCAACATACCGCTCAAATTCGAGTGGTAGGTATAACCGGGTTAGAAAACGGTATGTCATTTCTCTAACCGTTTTTTTACCCGGTTAGTTAAACCGGAGCCACGTGAAAAGAACTAAAGAGAAAAGAAATTATAAGGACATAATTGGTTTGCGAGCTTGCGCATTTTCCTTTTTCTCTGTTTATTGTGTGAAATAGAAAGAGTAGTAGTAGTAGAGAGAGAGAAAATTATAAACGGTTATTGTGATAAGCGGTTATTTACTAATGGCGATTTCCATTTGTCACTCAGTGCGCACTGAGTGTATCCGCATCTTTTTCTAAATGCATGTAGCATGTAAGGATAAGGATACATTTTTTTTGCACTGGCTCGACAAATGGAAATCGTTATAAAGGTTAATCGTATAAGGTTATTTTTGTTACAAAAATAAACCCGTTAACCGATAACCGGTTATTTGTCAATAACTGCCCATGCCTACTGCCGAACAACACAAACGTAAACAAACAAACCTCAAAAACAGAAACCAAAATGGCGGATAATGAATGCAGTGGCAGTACCGCATTCGGTGCCCGGATTCCGAACCCACGATTCGATAGTATCGTCTACAGTGGCTAAATAAACTTTTACATACAGTGGCGACAATAGATGAGGTCCCGCCGCCATCTTGCTCCCAACTTCTTGTTACTTTTAAAATATTAATATATGGGATTTAAATGGACATCTATCATAAAAAATTGAAATCGACGTATTTGATGACCATTATTAGGGCGATCAAATACGTTGTTTTCCATGATTCATGATGGATGTTCATCTAAATCCCATATATTCATATTTAAAAGTAGGTAACAAGAGGTTGGGAACAAGATGGCGGCGTTTTCAATATAAATATATGGGATTTTAGAACCAATCAAAAATAAGACAGCAATTGTCGCCACTGTGGGTGTTCATTTTTACTGCTTTTCTTGCTTCAAGCAGATCGGCGTTCACTTGTCCCATATATACAGGGTGTTCCTAAATATCATGTACAAACGGAAGGGGGTGATTCTTTGTTGATTTTATGACTAAAATTTCTAATAAACTTGGGTCCGCAAACGCTTCATTACCGATCTACAGGGTGTTGAAATTTTAATGTATTCATATTGACAATGAGCAAATATATGGCGGCGCAGGGGTGTCTTACTTCTAGATTCCTATTGAAAATGAGCAAGAATATGGCTTCGGGACCTCTATTGTAGCCACTGTAGGTAGAAAATGTTTATTGAGTTGCTTTAGTTTCATATATATCTAGCTAATTACAGAGATTTGTTTTTTAATGTTTTTCTCGCTATAAGGGTCGGTGATACGAAAAAACTACAAGAGAATAAAAAGTTTCTAAATAGGGTGGAAAAATTATTTTGTTTCTTAGCAGATGGCGGTTCGCCCATATGGGCAAGGTGGGCACCGCCACCATGGAGAAAGAATGGAAAAATAGAAACTGCTTTTAATACAATATTTGAAAAGGCCGCGACTTTGAAAATTTTTAAAAAATTCGCCTACGGCTGTTTTTTATTTTTGTCGCCCACCCTTAATTGGACACCACGAGCCGCCACTGTATTCCTAGAATAGACCAGTGGCACACTGCGAAAAAGTTCAGGGGCAGAAAAGGGGGCATATGACCCCTGAAAAAACATCACCCTGTAGATTCTGTCAAACATTTGACATGTGCAATCATTAAGCTCCTATTGCGTAACCTATATTCCAAATTTGAGCTGAATCCCTCAAAAATTGCAGAAAAAAAAAAGAAAAAAATAAAAAAAAATATTAAAATTTCACCACCTTGTTGATCGGTTCTAACGAAGCGTTTGCGGACCTATGTTTATTTAAAATTTTAGTCATGAAATAAACCAAAGAATCACCCCCTTTCGTTTGTACATGATATTTAGGAACACCCTGTATTATATAAGCTCATATCATAAACAGCAACTCCTAGCAGATCGTTTTGATTTTTCGAGCAGGTGGAGGGTGGAGCAATTACAAATGAACAACCTATTTTACAGGCTCAGTTATGCAATCGAAACTCAAACACATCCTCAACATTAAACTGGACTGGTGCTTGTACCGTACCTCCCATTTAAAATGCATGGCTCTCATCATATTTGACGATTTTTGATAACAAGGGACTGTAAGGAAAAGGAACCTGCTGTTTCCTCGCGTCCATTTTTTTGAAATAGTTCGAATTTGAAATAGTAGGTCTGTTTGTTATTTACGTGTAGGATAGGTCAGTGCAGACTGCTGGTGCAGCTAGAGGTTTGTTTTTTGTGTTGTTTTGGAGCAGCACTTCCTGCTTTGGGGCGTTCGTTTGTGTTATCGCAATGAAATGACGAGCGTTCGTTTGTGAAGTGCAGTTTGTTCCAAACTGTTTAGTTCATGTTCAACTTGCACTTGCTTTCGAGGAGGGGTAAGATAGGACAGCCTAGATTTAAATCTCAAAAACGCAAAAAAAGCCATATTTGACGGTTCCGTTCCCTGTCCCTCCATCCTTGTACTTGCACTTGCTTCAAGAAAGTTTTTTATGCATTTTCGTTTTTCCTTTGTATAAAGATGGCTCGCTGCATCGTCACAATCCTCTCCACTATCCTCATTACTTGACAAAACAAATTCAATTCCGTCATCG